AACAGCAGGCAAGACAGCAGCTCCTCAGGGAGGAATTGTCACAAAAATTTAGTGGGCACCAGTGGAGTGTAACTACAACGGTGACCCCCAATGGACACACTACCATGACAGCAAAGCCCAAGGGGAAAAAGGATGCTGTTTTCAATTGCAGGTGATCAGATACGTGCCCTCACTACAAAGTAATCATTGTAAATGCCATGAGCCTAACCAAGCTGAACATCTTTATGTTAAAGGAAAGCAACTAATGCAACCATGGAAGGACTCGAACCCTTAATCTTCTGAGCCGAAGTCAGACGCCTTGGGCCACGTGGCCACACACAGAGACAGCTACAAGTAGCCCTGAACCTGTGCACTGTATACTTAAGCTACTGGTGCCTTTCAAGCCAATTAAATAACAAAAAAGTCTTCATGCATTCTCAGTCATCCTGGTAAGGAAATCCCAGAAAGCTGATGCAGTTCATGTAAACACAATGTTTCGTCACTGATGCAAATAACTTCTTCAGTCTTAGCTGACTGCAGGTTTCCTTAACCTTATAAACAGTACATTGGCATAATGGCCAAAACTAGTACCACTGACAGACAATGGGCTGTGACTTCAGTTTCATTATCCTTAAAATGCAAAATGGCACTACCATTGGTCAATGGTTATAAGTAGCATTCACAAAGAGTGGCTGCACTCTATGGAACGCCAGGACTGCCATAATGAGAATCTGCGAATGCAACATGTGGAACACGGAGAGTGGAATATGTAAACAAACTGGTTAACGTAACCCCCCTCGGTGCACTACTGATGGGTGAGGCTGACAGATAAAATTATTTCATGATGAGAGCCAGGCGCCAGGACTGCCAAAATGAAATAAATAAATATATCATTAAATAATTAATTAAATGTGTCAATAATTAATTAATTACATGTGTCAATAATTAATTAAAATGTGAAATACATAAATAATTAATTAAATGTGTCAATAATTAATTAATTTCATGTGTCAATAATTAATTAAAATGTGAAATACATAAATAATTAATAAATTTGTCAATAATTAATTAATTACATGTGTCATAACTATTTATTTAATTAATTAATTCCAATTTTAATTAATTATTGCCACATGGTGTATTTAATTAATTCATGGTGTATTTAATTAATTCATTATGGCAGTCCTGGCGTTCCATAGCACTCACAGCATTGTAAGATGGTGAAAGACATACCCTTTTTCCTTAAATCCCCACTCAAACCAGCATTCCGCCATGTCCAGGATGTGCACATCCTCATCACTGAAAGAGTACATTTGACTAGTTTTCTACAACTGCAATGAAAAAATATGCAAGAGTCAAGATTCAAATGCTAACTTTATTGTCATATGTAGGCTCTGGACAAAGTTGCTGCTACTGTAAGCTTTCTGGTTTCTGCTTAGGAATCAAAAGCCAAAGTGCTAGTGATTGCTGATACTGACCGGTCATGTTTGGTTGCATGCAAATAAAGAATCTGCCGAGAGATCCAAGTCAATCTCAAAACCAATGGGCATTACTCGAGAACTATTTAGATTTGTGTTGTTTTATTTGTAAACCTTAATCGAACGGTGGAGGTCAAGTTATGCTCTGGAGAGGAGAAGATGTTGGGGCTGCAAACTGAGCAGGAGTGGTAAGGTAGTCAAACTAATAAGACTAATAAAATAAGACTTGATAAGATAACTATGTTATCATTAAGGCAATTATGTTATCTCTGACAGCCTTAATCATAAGTGGCCAGTATGTGGCCCATGCCCATTACATTGGCATTAGTAGCACCAGGCTCTAACCTTCTGAATTATGCAGCCCAAACATGCAGTGAGAAAAACAGATTTTTTTCTAATTTGACCAAATATGGAAGATGCCAGAATCACCAGGTCATTTTGAAACACTTGAGCACCACAAAGGGCGTCATGGTTGACTGTAAAGTCCCCTCGCCAGACACCTTCTCCATTAAGCCATATGCTCATACAGTTCAGCTGCACCTTATTTATAATGGGGCATAGTCCTACCTGACAACATCCAAAATCAATCTGCCATTCCTTGCTCAGCATAGACAGTTTCCCCTTCAAAAACACACTGTATGCGAGGTTTTGTTTTTTTTTGTTTTTTGTTTTATGTTTTAGCTGAACCACCTGGAAAGTGGTGGGTTTGTCTAGCGTTTGTCCCCACTTGAACTGAAGTCATCATTAAAAAGCAGATTAGTTTTTGGTTATTTTACTTGTAAAGAAAACAGAAATCTCAACCTTGAATATAGCTAACGGCTTCCCAACCCCAGCAGCCTCTGCTTAGAGACAAACTGATCCGTATGCCTGTGTGAACAGAATCACTAAGGGACATAAACCATCAGACTTTTGAGCTGAAGTCAAACGCCCTGTCCATTAGGCCACATGGAGATACTCTAAGCTGTGGTATTAAACCTTATTTATTACCAGGCAAAGTCCCACCTGGCTGAACATCCAAAATCAATGCACTGAAAGTGTAGATGCTGACTAATTATTTGTTTTCTGTACACCCCTGAAATGTTTGTTTATAGCATTTAGGGGTAAAATGTTGGCACCGAGACTTCAGCGTCAACTTCAGCTTATTTGGCTGGAGCAGATGTGCTGTTTGTGAGCCCTCATTAGGCTGCAGAGGGCACACGTCTGGCCAACTTAAGCAGTGAAAAGAGCGTCTTCATTAACATGCACAGCCAGCCGCTTCCTGTGAAACAGGCCTTTGTCACCCAGCAGATGCCCAAACACAGCGAAAAGAGGCAGAAAGAAGAACATAGATGGATGCTATACGAGCCATTATGAACAGAGAGAGGGCCACAGAGGGAGAGGTTTGGCACTTTGTCTGTTTATCTCAGTTAATCTTAATTAGTCCTGAGGTGTTTGGTAAATAAATTTCAGTTTTACGCTCCTCGGTTTAACCAACATGGCATATTAATAACTCAAATAAATTTTTGTGTGTTTAATCATTTAACCACATATAAACGCCAGGACTGGACCAGGTCACAGAGATGTCATCTGCTGGTTTCTGGCATTTTCAGGGTTCAACAGTTGAGGCTAGCCACCGCCATGCTGTTTTGTTTGGAGCCAGAGTTGCCATGTTTAGAAGATAGAGTGCTACATTATCAGCTAACTCTAGCAAGTGTAGCTTGTTAAGTAATTAACAAATTAGTGCTAAGCGATGGGCTGCTTTCACTCAAAACTGATGCACAAACTTCTTGGATGTACACTTAACCGCACAATACCACATGTTCTTCCTTCTCACTAGGGCGATCGTGGCTCAAGAGTTGGAAGTTCGTCTTGTAATCAGAAGGTTGCCGGTTCGAGTCCCAGCTTGGACAGTCTCGGTCATTGTGTCCTACTGGTGATGGCCAGAGGGGCCGATGGTGCGATATGGCAGCCTCGCTTCTGTCAGTCTGCCCCTGTGCAGCTGTGGCCACAACTGTAGCTGCCTCCACCAGTGTGTGAGAGTGAATGAATAGTGGAATTGTACAGCGCTTTGAGGTTCTCGAAAAGCACTATATAAATGCAATCCATTATTATTAGCCAGTATGAGGTTTGGACCTTGGAGTTAACCAGCTGAGCTAACCGGCTGCCGTGTACAAACCTTGAAGCAGTTTTATTCTCCACCAAACAATATTCAGTGACTGAGTTTCATGACAAGTTTATGAGAGGTGAATTAATTCTTATTACTTATTCATTTGAATTCTGTCAAGGCTTAAAGTTGACTGTTGAGCCATAACAGTGGGTGTAGCTGCTAGCTGTCAGCCAGTCTTCATGTCAGCTAATTAGAGTCACTGAAACTCTCCACCACATCTGTGCTGGTGGTGAAATCATTATCTGACAATCCCAAAATGTTGATTCTGTTCATCTGGATGTAGCATTTTCTGTGGGAGAAACGTTCCTTCGCCATTTGACTTCTTTAGTCAACTAAAGACGTCACTTGGATGAAAAGGCTACGTCCAGATGAACAGAAACAACTTTTTGGGATTTAGTTACCTGGATGATTGAGAATGCATCATGATATCTGACAATGAATATGCAAAACCTAAGTATAATGCCTGTTGCATTAAATATGACACAGGCTTTGCAACTATCCATTTTATAGCCAGCATAGGAGTTGAACCTATGACGTCGGTGTTATTAACACCACACTATAGTCCTGGGATAATGCCAATGTCACAGGGAAAAGGCAATACATTTGGCATCTTTAATCAGGTGGGAATACTTTATAAATATGCATTGATGTTTACAGATGACACTGCAATCTGTAGTCAAAGGGTCGAAGCAGGTCGAAGTGATCTTGGACAGGTGGAGGTATGCTCTGAAGAGAAGATCAATAAAAAGTTTAATCATGTAAAGGGAAAGCCGAAAGGAGCAGAGGTAGTGCACATGGATGAGTTTAAATACCTCAACCATCCAAAACAACAGACAGTGCAGAAGAGAGTGCGGGCAGGTTAGAGTGGGTGGCGACAGGCGTCAGCGATGATTTGAGACAGAAGGTTTGCAGCGAGAGTGAAAGGCAAAGTTTACAAGATGGTAGTGAGACCAGCTAAGATGCATGGCTATGAGATAGTGGCACTGGAATAAAAACAGGAAATGTTAATATTTAATTGGAAGTGACCAGGATGGACAAGATTAGAAATGAGTACATCAGAGGGACAGCTCAGGTGGAGCAGTTTGGACACAAAGTTAGAGAGGCAAGGCTGCGATGGTTTGGACATGTTAGAGGAGGGATGGATGTACTGGACAAAGGAAGTTGAAGGTAAAGTATGAAAAAAAGAGGAAGACTTCAGACAAGGAGGACATACAGAAGGGCAGTGTGGAGATTACTGAGTGACGACATCAGAAGTCATGAAAATAGGCCACGAAATTAATCTGCTCTCTTATTTTAAAGTTTGCAGAGTCAGTGCTGGTTCCTGCAGGGCTGCAGTGGAGTGAGGAGAGGTGGACACTTGGGATTGGTCAGCACTTTGAATGACAGGTTAACTGACCTCAGACCTGCACCTCCTCACACCCCCACCCACATACTGGTCCAGTATAAAGACTGCAGCCCATCCTCAGCCTCTGCTCTCTGGACTTCTGCCTGCACTCGCACAACAGTAAGTCTTTGTTTTTTGTATTTTATGTCGCAGCAAAGAGACAAAAGCTATTTCTAGTAAGTTTCATGACTTTTTTCAAGGACTTGTTAAACACAAAAAGAAAATCTAAAATTAAGAAGGATTCGTTACCGTATCAATACTGCCCGGCATTTAAGGCTAAAGCGGGGCATTTTTTGCTCTGTAATGCTGGTAAAACGAATTAATTTAAGTCTCTCTGTTAATTATGGAGTCCGATTTTTTTATATCTGCAAAGGAAAATCATCAGCACGTGAGTAAAAAAAGTTTTGTTAACTGCGGTTAAGTGCTTAAAATGAAGGCAAGTTGACTTCTTTTTGATTCGTCAAGACATTTCACCCCTCCACAATCCTAAAATGAAGTTCATCTGCCTTCATTTCAAGCACTTAAGCTACCATGAACCTGCACAACTGAGGACCTGCACAGGCTTTAACTGTGGTCCATTTACTCAAGCATAATGGCCACCTTTCTTTGCCAAATGGTCAGAAAAAAAAGATGTCAAATAAAGTCATACAGAGCCAATCCTTGTACTTTCCACATGTTAATAAATGTGGTCCACTCCCAAATTCTAGAAATGCTAAAAAGAACAACCCTTGGTATTATGTGGATTAGTGTTATTTAAGTACTTTTACTTGTGTTTTTTTCAGGAATCATAAATCAATACTTTTAAGTTCATCAGAATATAATTTATATAATATATAAGAAAATAATTCAGCGACTTCATATTTATATATTATATATATTTAAAAATATATATAATTTCAAAAAAATATATAAAAGTGATTTAACTTTCTTTGAATCTCCCAAAATGGTCTTAAGATTAACGCTTTTATTTACTTTACTTTTCAAGGTTTAACAGACAGGTGACGATGACTGACCTGGAGACCTCGATGGCCACCATCCTCGCTGTGTTTCAGAAGTATTCGGAGAGAGAAGGAGACAAACATAAACTGAAGAAGAGCGAGCTGAAGGACCTGCTTCATGACGAGCTCCCAGATCTGATGGCGGTGAGATGGGAAATTTGTAATAATATATATATATATATATATTGAGATTTAAAAGCATATGACATAAACTGTTAAGCACCAGTTTGGAGTTTTGTTGTCCCGAGCTGAACCCGTCCTCCCTCCCTGCAGCATGTGAATGACCAGGCTGCGCTGGACAGCCTGATGGACAGCCTGGACACCGACGGCGACGCCGAGTGCAACTTTCAGGAGTTCATGACATTCATCTCCGTAGTTACCGTCTGTTGCCACGAGTTTTTCAAGGACGAGCACGAATAAGGAGGTGGCAGCGGGCGGGAAGACAAAGGGGAGCCACAGTACATTATAAAGAAGCAGAAGCCTAGCAACGCACAAACTGTCGATGCCCTCACAGCAGCGCAGGGTGGAGGAAACACAATCCAGCCACCAGCCACCATTACGTGGCTGGTGGCTGGTAAAAAGCTCCAGTCTAGTGTCTGAAATCAGCCTCGTTTGTGTTTTCATTTCTAGATGGCATGTAAAGTCTTCAAAATGGCGGCAAAGATTGGTACAAAAGGAGGAACTAAAGTAGCTCAAGCAGAACAAATCTTAAAAGTGTTTCACTATATGTTTGGCCACCAAAGCCAACCATTTATCAATCAATACATGTTACACCTTTATTCACGTACTCTTTATCATTTCCCATCACTTTGTATAAGTAAAGGCTTTGTATATGTTACAGGTTTTGGAGAATGGCTGCTACATTTGGCTGCTGTTCTAGCAGTGAAATTATAAAAGTTGTTTATATACTACATCATGGACTGCTAAATCAATCTTACAGCCACAAACCGTCAGTTTGGGACTTTGCATGTAAAACCCTGAATGACCATATCAAGTTAACCGCTTTAGGAGTCAAATAACTAACTAAAGAGCCCCCTTTAGGCAGTTATTTGACTAAATGAAATATTGACTATCAAATATTGAAAGCAACGTTAAGGTTTGATGTCATATAATAAATTAACTAACTGGCTAGTAAAAGTTTCAAAATGACTTGTGGGTCCTTTGTTAAATTGATCATTAGGGGCATTAAATAAGTAACAGTATTTGGTTGCTTTAGTCGTAGTATAAGTAGTATGTCAGACAAATGATGACAAACACAAAGTTCTTCAATACGGCTTTTAAAAGAATGTTTTTCAAACTACAAACTGCCTGAAGGGCTCTGTTTTGATAGTGGCTTGCAGCTCAGTACTTCACAGTATCATAGTTTGGAAATATATGTTGTAAGCTGAGCTTTATATTAAAAGCTCCTGAATAGCTAGTGAATAGGTTTGTTCAGACAGTGATGAATCTTAAAAATCTTTAATACTAAACTAAGAAAGTAGCTAATAAGTTAGTTCAGTCTAGCAGCCACAAGAATGCATCCATGGTTTAAAAAATCTATCTGAATATCACTTTTTGAAAATATTTGCAGTTTGCATTGTGGGCTAGTCAGTTACTAAGAGACTAACAGTCATTTAAGATTTTGCATGTGAGATTCTGGATAGTCAGTAAGTTGAGAAAGTTGACTTAAAGTTAGATAACTCAGCTATTTTAGGAGCCAAATAATTGTGTAAAGGGGGGAAATATTGCAGATAGTGAAACTTTAAAAGAGGGAAGTGAGGCATGAGGGGGAGAAAAGTTAGCTAGTAAAAGTTTTAAAAATGGCTTGTGAGTATGAGCTATTCTAACACCTCGTTTGTTAACTTTAACTGTATAGCAGTTGGGGGAAAAGTACCTGGTAAGTTGGACTTCATTTTAAAAGCACTTAAACAGCAGATGGGTTTGGGATTTGTTTGCCGAGCTCAATCCATTCCTGAAAATTGAATAAAGCGCTGAAACTGAAAAAGTTTCATAGCTTTAGGAATCAATCAAGAATCTGAAGAACACTATTGGTTTGTTTTTAATCTTACATACTATCATAGTTTGAATTTGGTTTGTGGACTTGTTAAAATTCACAACATAGTGATTTGGAGATAAATATAAAATAGCAAATACTGAATGCAGCAATTTAGGCACACAAAAAAAATATTTCATTGGCTTGTAAAAGGTTCAGTTTGGCTAGAGAGTTTAAAGTGTTCTAGCTCCTCCGTTGTTAAACTCAAATTACTTAGAGACTTCACAGGTGTTGAAAAGCGCCTAAAAAGGATTTTATCGTCTAGTTCTTTTAATATTTGTCTTCTGAATCATTCCTTACATTTTTAAAATTCGACAAAGCCACTAAACTGATAAAGTGGCTGGCAAGTTAAAATGAATTAAAAAATGAATATCAAATTTTAAAAGTAAATTTTAGGTTTGTGTAAAGTTGCTATAGTCATCTTTTGGAGACACTTTAATGAGTTTATTAGGTCAAAAGTCATCAATGGCCACTAAATCTTGAGAAAGTTGCTTAAATGCGAATCAACATTAAGCATATTCTTAAATCGATTTCATTTATGAAACTGCGTATACCATCAAACATATTCACAAAGACAGTAGGAGCTTTAAATCTTATTTGATTGGCAATGCAAAGATTTGATTTTATTTATTTTTTGGTGCTTTGTCCCACTGTAGCTGCTGCTTTGCTTAACCCCTGATATTGTCGACTTGTTTTTTCTTGTTAGAAAAAAAAATGCTGGTAGTTTTCTGTCTAATTATTCTTTTTTTCATTTGCTCTCAAAATCTCTAAATCTGAAAAATGGCTATTAAGATAATGAAATTCAAACAGTCTATCCCTCTTAAAGGTCTAAACGGCTATCAGATTTTAAAATTCAACTTTTAATTGGCTCATAAAGACACTCAAAAATGGCTTGTGAGTTTTCATTTAGACGTCACATTGGAAACCTCTTTCAATAGTTTGAAGTCAGAGTGTTTAATAAAACTGTAGATTGTACATGTTTTATGTGTTATTTACATCTACGTTTATTTGATGTTTTGGTAAAAATTACATCGAGGTCAAAATGGTTAAAATGACTAATACGTATCTTAAAATAGTTGCTGGTAGGCAAGTAATTAAAATTACTTTTAACTGACTTTAAATGTTAGCTTGTAGTTGCTTTAGCTCTTTGTAGGTTTACATGTATTCAGCATGAGAAGCAAATCTAAATCATTATAGATGTAGAAATGATCAGTTAAGCAGTGCAACAGAAGAGTTTGTCGGATGTGCATCATGACATGTTGAATGTTGGGTTGTTTGGACGTTGGTGATACGAATTTAATTAAATGGTCAGTTTGTGACTTAGTCAGTCAATATTTCTGTAGCGAGGGGACAAAGAAGGCTGTTTATTCTTATCTTGGGTGGCTGTCAGAAGAATTCAGAGACGCACTGCAGTAATATTTACATAGCAGTTCTGCAGAGTTGCTCAACCATTAAAAGTTCATATGTTGTTTTTCTCTGTGGTTTTACTCCTAATATATTTGTGTTATGCCAAAGTGAGCACGGTGACAATAACAAAAAAGTATTCGGAGAGCCCTGACAACGAAATACTTGTAGCCGTTTAGTTTAACAGTGCTCTTTTAGTGTTTCGAATGTCACTGGCCTGCAGGTCTTTCCTGTTTAGCAAAGAGGCTATTCAGGAAAAACTGAAGTTCAGTTTGTCCTTTTAGCACATTTTTTTAGAAGATGTTTTTTTAAGGAAATATGAGAAGCTTTTTTAAGACTTATTGAGACCAATACTGAACTAAAACACAGTGAAATTTAAATAAATACACTAAATGGTCCAGTGGTTAGTCTTTTCTGAGGCACAGAAATGTTTAGTATTTTATTCCTGTAACTTCACATTTGCAGCACAAATATGACTCAGTGTGAGTCATAAAAATTAAGTGGCATCAGTGGATATTTCTCTTTAGAGTGCACCTTAATCAGCATGTTTCATCTTTATGACAGTTTTTTAAAGCATCCATTCATTTTCTTAATGGCTCATCTATTTACGGTCTCTTAGGTGATGGAGTCTATTCATGCTGATTTTGGGATGATGATGAGGTACATGACAGGTCATCAGAACATGAATGGATTGCTAAACAAGTCCAACATTTCTTAAAGTTTAATGGAAATACTTCAAATAATAAAATAAGATACAAATATGAAGGAGAGTCAGGTGAAGTCCACAACCTCTTTTGATCAGCAGTTCACAGTTATAACAGTCCAAGAAATTCTGGTGATCTGTACGTGCTCCTTCAAGAACAGCCATCAAAACTCATTCATCACAAGTGTGAGCTTAAAAGAAAAATACATCAAACTAATCATTCCCTTTATCATCGACGGAAGCTGTTTGTTATTACTAGAGTAAAAATCGGATAGCAACATCCTTGGTACCAAGAAAAACACGGTGCAACAGGGGATTTGGTTGCCAACTGGTTGTATTCTGGGTATATTCAAATAAAAAAATTAGAATTGTGAATGCCTATGTCATGTTGCAGTTAAATAACTGTCCTGAGAAACTATGCAAGAATTTCTGTTTCGGATTTTTTAGGTTGTGGCTGGACTGTAGATGTGAGTAGATAATTTCTGTATATGCAGACAGCGACAGAGTTTATCACAGTCAATCGCTGCATTGCCACAAACCGATTGGCAACTTGACCCCATTCAATTACAAACTGACAACAGACTGACTTCATGTTATTGCCGTTTCATCACAGCAAACCCAAGTCTCTTTGAAGATGGCAACTAACTGTGAGTGGTTGTCTTTAAAGCAACCACTTCAAAGGCAACAAGTTCCCAAATTCATTGTGTTCAGTAATAATATTGGTCATGCTATCCCAGCAACTGTTTTCCCAAGTGTAACTGTAGCATAACAGCCACTATTAGGTCTCATTTTTGATGTTGGGTTGTGGCATTAGCAAGATGGCAAGATTTCTGTCAAAGATTAATGGTCTAATGGTGTGTTTTAATACCAAACAGACCTAACCAAGTACTTTTTAGTGTCTAAACCTAACCAACAAGTGAACATAAATGAAGGTCAGAGGTACTAACGGCTGAAATGCCTCTTAACTCCACCACTCCTTCAACCTCCTAACAAACATTTTTTGATGGTCAATACTGACAGGGATAGTCATACACCTTGAATAGCATTGGTGGCATTATGTGACACAGCAGGATGAAAGTGTGCTGTGCAAGTCTATTACAGTGCAGATGGAGACAACCATCAATTCCTGCACTGAATCCATAATTAATTCAATATGCATGTATTTGGACTATTGGAAGAAATCCATGCAGGCACAGGGAAAACATGCAAACTCCACAAAAGAAAAATGTAATGAAACATATAACAAAAAAGTGCTAGATATATAGTTTAGTATAAGAACTGAAGGCAACCAAGAAAGACAAACTCCAAAAGTACAAAACAAGACCACAAGTACAGAACACAGGAAGGCAACAAAACAATCTGACATACACAAAGGAGGGAAAAGAACAAAAGCAGGAAGTCAAACCAAAGCAAGACTAACTTTCAAAGTAAAACAGGAAGGCAAAAAACTAACACCATTTTCTTGTTAAGAAACCATCTTTATTTGTCTAAAAGAAGATGGTTCACATTAATAACCAGGCTGAAGGTAAGGATTATTCAGCACAGGACGTGCACAAGGGCCAAACAACAAAAACACACATACACACACACACTGAAGTGCTCCTCTGTGTGTTAACAGATGATGCAAGAGGCGTTGTCAGCTGCATGCACTCAGACATCTGCAGGCTGTTTAGGATCAGAGAGGTGGAGTCAGCTCCGCTATTGGCCAGAGGGGGAACAGATCTCGACCCTGGGGACTGACACCACACCCATCCGTATGTGTGTTTGTGAGTGTGTTTTGAATTGTGTGTGTTGTCCAACGTACACTCTGTCGGCGTAGGAAGAGTTGCCTGCTGACTCTCAGAAACTGGTGAGCTTCTTTTTGTCTTTATGTCAAAATCCTTGCTGTGGTTTTGTGTTGCTTTGAGCAGAACGAGCTGCTCTGCAAACAAACTGTTGGGCACTTTGTTTTCAGGTTATAGTCAGTGGTCAACAATCTGTTCTCACTTATTTTAAAAGTTGCATGTGTGAAACTAACCTACTGTTTTAGTGGAAACAAATAAAAACCTTAGGCACCTCAGTTAGGGATGTTTAAAGAGCATTAAACTCAAATAACCTGGTGATTAAAGTGTCATATTTGTGCATTACACTTTAATGCTCTGCAGCTGTTTACCCGAAGCATGACTCTTGTTATGGAGGCAAACGTCGACGCTTTGGATGCATTTTAGTGCGACACCTCGAGTTCATGAGTCAGGAAAAAATGGATTTCCCTTGAAAGGCTCTATTGTGTGGTGAAATGTGCTAAGATGGAGCATTTTACAAATGAAATGTTCACCGGGTCAGAAAAACCCTGACACAATTGGAGATGCTGACTGGATTTCTCACTTGCAGACACAAACTTAGTTCACTGCTGTCAAAACATCTGGCAGAGAATTCAAATCTGGCTCTGAGAAAAAAGTTCCTGAGGGGATCACGATACAAGAAGTTAAAACTAATCACTTTAAAAGGAAGGGTTATACAACTGTTGGTTTGGGTTTCCAGCTTATTTCCTGGATATGCTCCTCATAACATTTCTTTAAAAATTTCCTGATCGTAAGCCTCAAGGATTCACATGAGGTAATAGGATAAAATGAAAACTGAACATTATTTCAGGCACCTTTGTGTATTGAGTTTCTAATATGTTAGGATCCAAGTTAGGGTGTTGTTTGTGGTGGGAAAAGCTTAATGTGTGCACTGACAAGACTGTAAAGATGTCAGGCAAGAAAATGAAAGTCTGACCTGGTACCAATGTTGCTTTTTTGGTGTCAGGGAAACAAACAAGCACAAGGTAAGTTGAACAAAAACTGATGAACACTGGTCATTGGCTTTGCAGTCAACAAAATCAATACCCATGTTCAGAGGATGCTGAGGCATCTCTAAACCTGAACTCTTGATTCAACAACCTGAGTCACTTTTTTAATAGACAGAAATTTGTTGATCATCATCATTATACCAAACTCATTAAGGTTGAGGAGGAAGCTATGGCTCAGGAGGTAGAGTGGGCCATCCATCCATCCACCCATCCATCCATCTATCCATCCATCCATCCATCCATCCATCCATCTATCCACCCATCCATCCATCCATCCACCCATCCATCCATCAGGTAGTCAGTGATTGGATACCAAGCTCCTACAGCATATGTGTCAAAGTGTCCTTAAGCAAGACACTGAACCCCCAGTTCCTCCCAATGCATCTATCAGACTGTTTGAGTACCCATGATAACAGAATAAAGTTGGTAGTAAAACATTCCTTTCCATAAGTATCAGTCCGTTAAGCAGCCGCTACGTCCATCGTCATCACAAAGTTCTAGCCAATGATTACTGAACTTACAAAAATTCCCCGACTGCACTGCATCTTCAAACTTGATCTTGATTACGAGTGCACATCTGTAAAGTGTCATTAGAGTCAGACTCAATGGGTGGAAGCAACACAAAGTATTATGTAAGGCCTGTAGCCATTTCTCTCATGCTCGTCTCAACAATTTCTAGTTTATATTTGCTGGAAACACATATCTATGTCAATGTTCAGAGTGAGAGAGCATTTAAATCCCTTACAAGACATTAAAATGCACAGGGATTGACCAGGGATTAGCCTTCCAGAATCCAGGGGGCCATATAAACTGTATCCATGATGTTTAGCCATGTTTATGTCCTTTTTCTTTCTTGACAGTCAGCAAAACTTTAAAACTACTTCTTACCTCCTGAACAAGTAGTTTTTAACACCTAAGCCTAACAGAATAGTTTCTGTGGCCTTTATTGCTTAAAGCTAAATAAATAGATTTTAATGAGAATTAATAACACAATAAACCAATCAAACCAATATCCCCAATCATCACGGGCTGTGGGTTGTGACCTAAAGAATGAGATCCCACATACAAGCAGCTGAAATGACATTCCTCCAAAGTGTGGATGGGATCAACTTTAGAGAGACGGTGAGGAGCTCGGTCTTTAATAAAGGGCTCAGAGTAGAGTGGGAACGTCCTACGTGAGGAGGCCCCAGGCCAGAGCCAGGACATGCTGGAGAGATTACATCAGCAGATGGTCCAGCGTAAAATAACTAAAATATTGCAGCGAAAATGCAGCTAATTAAGAGGAAAATTTGTAGGAAATTAGCTGCACTAGCTGTAAATGAAATTATCATCAGTTTAACTGCAAGAAGAATTTTATTCATAAATCATGCTGTTTCTTCACAGGTCACTTCAGCATGAACGCTCACGCAACAGTGCCCCCTTTGTCAGGAACAAGCCCCTCTCCTTTTTCAGACCTTGTGACCAAGATAGGACCCAAGGGTATGTGCCTGGAAAATGTGTGAATTGTCTTTTATTTTATTTCACCATAACATTTGTTCAATAAACATGAATATAGCATAAGTAGACCACAGGGAAACATCACTCATCTATCTGCTGTCTGTTGTTGCTGCTTAAATGTTTTTTTTACACTTTTATTATTATTTTAATTTGTTTGATAAGTTTGTATATGTGTTTATTCAAAATCTTAACAGTGTTCATAAAGAGATTAGTTGATTTATATTTTATATTAATCTAATTCTGCTACACAGGATTACAGTTATAATAAAATATTTGCATTTGTATAGTTATTTCTTATGAATAAATCAAAAACAAATACAAAAGAGTTGGTGCGCTACAGGATTTGTTGACATCTTGAAAGAGCAATTTGCCGGTTTAGCTACAGCTGTTATTTCTCCTGTGCACTGGTGGGTGTATTGATTTATCACAGATGACAAAGATGACCTACAGGAGGATCCAGAGTGTTATGACAAAGTGCTGATTTTTTTATTTTCAGTTTAATGTCAGGTACTGTAGAGATTATCGTGTATTTGTAAATGTGATGGTTACATTTCACACAGTGCATTCCATAATGATTCAAGACTATTCTGTATATGAGCACTGTACATGTCTGTGTCCGATGTCTGATTATCGAAGAAGACCACTAAAATCACGGTGATTAATGCCTATCAAAGATTTTTTTCATTAGGATCTGTATTGGTCATGATGTCTGCACAGACTGGAGCTGGAGTCCATGTGCAGAACTCAGTGGGACACTGGAAAAGCAGCTGATTGCCCCACTAATCACAAAATAATTGCCTTATAAATTGTATAATTGCACCATTATTTTTGCTTGAATAACAAATTTAAACCAGCCCCAAAAATCTTATCACATGCATAATCATTTTTTTAATAGATTTAGATTTTAGGACACTAAAATTCAACATCCAGTTTGTGGGACAAACACCCTGCAAACACAGTGAACCAGCCGAGATGTTTGTGTGCATTAGCAGGGAGTGTCTTATCAGCCCGATGTCAGAGTGGAGCATGGGAAGGAGCGAGCGTGACG